TCTATTGTTTGCTTTATAATTCTTTCTCCAAATCCCTTTTTATTTGCATGAAACAGGGTTTAAAGTTGCTTATCTTCTCGTTTTCTTTATCAGTGATTGAATTCTTCGAACTTCATCCACTTAACTTTAATAATTTTATTTTCTCAATCTTGGTGCGTGCAGATATGCTACTTCTTCTACAAGAATATTACATTTGGGTTTACGCTATTTTGGTTTGAGGCCAATGCTTCTTTCTCTGGTCAGCCTGCTTATAATGACTGGTACATGTCCTGCTACAATGTCTTCTTCACATCACTTCCAGTTATTGCTCTTGGCGTTTTTGATCAAGATTTTTCTGCAGATCAATGCCTCGAGGTACAAAATCCTTTAACCCCTAAACAATTTTGATAAAAACAGTAGACAGATTGGATGCAAAATGCTGGAAAAAAAGCATTGATAGTCAAATAAGAGATAATATATCATCCAGTGCAGCATAAAATAGTTAAAAAGTATTTTCTTCATTGATATATACCTCAATTGGTGTATAAGGAACCAATGACCTGTTCTCAATCTTGATACATCTGTTTTGCAGTATCCTGAGTTATATCAAGAAGGTGTGAAGAACAAGCTGTTCAACTGGCTCCATATTCTTGGCTGGATGTTCAATGGAGTTCTTAGCTCCATAATTATCTTCTTCTTCACTACTAGGTCCATAACCAGCCAAGCTTTCCGTGAAGATGGTAAAGTTGCAGACTTTTCGGTCCTCGCAGTCACACTGTATTCATGTGTAGTTTGGGCTGTGAATTGCCAGATGGCACTCTCGATCAATTACTTCACATGGATCCAGCACATCTTCATCTGGGGAAGCATCGCTGTCTGGTATGCATTCTTGCTGGTCTACGGTTCTCTTTCACCCACCATAACAACCACGGCATACAAGGCCTTTGTGGAAGCTTGTGCTCCAAGCATTCTCTATTGGCTCGTCACCCTCTTCGTTGTTATTTCTGCACTGCTGCCCTATTTCTCCTGCCGGGCTTTCCAGACTCGTTTTAGACCGATGCCACATGATGAGATACAAATGCAAGACCGCCGTAGAGCATGTCCAAGGCGGCCGCAAAACTCATGAAATCTGGCCCTGTCCTACTCAAAATAAGTAGGTAGTTTTGGTTTCTGTCGGTAAAAACGTGGGAATTGCACATCCTTCAACTCCTTATGCTGATTAATCCCGTAAATGTGATTTAACAAACTTTAGTTACTTTGCTATGCACAATTTGAGTTGAATTCTACAATCTCCAAAATATGTAATTATCTTACACACTTATTGTCTAAATTGTGAATACACCAAAAGTGTTAGGATTCAAAGGTGACCGACCCCAAGACATTAACTCATCATTTCTTGGGGCCACTCTCCTAAACCTTTGAAATTTATCCTCAAGAATGTGGTGGGTAACAAGTTTCATTTTAGGCAGGCAGGGTCAAACTCATGTCCCATGTTGAATATGACTTGACAAGAAAATCAAATAGAACCTTCGATAATCTTGGGCAAAGTGGGACCTAATTAGCTCGAGATTGCTAGGATTTTTAGCTCCCAAGTCCTAACCCACTTTAATTATAATGCTTAACGTTAAAGTCCACTTCATGTGTCATTGAAGAAGACCTTTACCAACAACATTTTTTCTTGCAAGAATCTTATCCACCCAATATCTTTTTTGTTTTTTATGTTACTTGTTTTTTCGCTCAAAGTTTTGGATTTTCTTTAATTGTGGTATGGTTGTATCAATAATTTTTTGCGCCCGATTCGATTATTAATCTCTTTTATTAGAAACCTAGTCCTATAAATACAAAGATTCATGCGATCTTAATCTTTATTTTATCATCATATTAACATTTATTACATTATATTCAATTTTTATTTTAAAAAATATACATGGCAGATTAAGTAGCCAATCCAATCTATTCCACCTATTTTCTAGAAAAAGGTGATTTACATGCAATCTCTATTTTAAATAAAATTCATACTCCTACCCACCTCTCTCCTGCAATAGTTTCAACCATATCCTTAATGGTTTCAAACAGTTAACTTATAAAAAAATATTTTATAAGTTAAATTATATATTAAATATATTTTAATTTATAAATTTATTAAAATATTTTTAATAAAATAATTTTTTTATGTTATTTCATAAATGATAATTTAATAACTTTAATATTTAGATTATATTTTTGATATACAGTTTAATTTGCAAAATATGAATTTCTTAACTTACTACATAAAAATGAAGTTTCACAATTGCACCATTTCATTTTAAATACAAACGAAGAGTGTGTTTGATATTGCAATTGGAGGCTTTTTTTAGTTGTATAGTGCTTTAAATGTATGTATTTAGTGTTTTCTTTTTTGAATTATTTTTTTCAAAAACTATAAAAAGTTATAATATATTTACTATAATTTAATCTACAAATTCAAAAACCTCACATTAGAACTTTCTGTTTGTGACATTCATAAACAATACATAATATTTAATATAATCATAAAATTACAAATTAAAATTCAAGATCATTTAATTTAATACATTATAATTTTTAATATTTTATTTAAACTTAACATCTCATTTATTGAAAAATTTTATAAAAAAATTAAAAACTCATTATTTCCTTATAAGGTGCTTTCATACGAAATCTACAAGAATACTCATCGTAAAAAAATTTAAAAACTTAAATTATTAAGAAGTAATAAATGTTGTCTATTTTAATAATTACATATCATATAATATTTTTAAAATTTTAATAAGTAATTAATAAAATTTATCATATATTATGTATAATACTTTTAAAAAATAAATATTAAATATTAAAATAATTTTTAATCACAATTATAATACACCATAATTCAATACAATTGCCAATTACTTAAATAATTCAATAATAATTTTTTTCGCTAAAAGTAAAAATTCATGAGTTCGAGTTGCATGGCATGCGGATGAGACGAGATAAAGAATAAGAAAGATATCTCTCATTGGGTAACCGATCATAAAAAAAAAAATTCAATATAATTACAATCATAATTATAACTAAAACATTGCACTACAATTCTAAATGTACTCTAAGTTTCCGTATCAACTTGGCTTCTTTTTTAAATTCACTAAAGTCTAGATTGGCCATTTAAATACGTTTGTGCATTGAATTAACAGCAAGAAACCGAATGTACTAAACTAAAATAAAAAGAAAGTCGGTTGATCTCTATTAAAATATGGAGTACTATTGTTTGGAAATATTTATTTCTTTTTTATATAAGCTAATTTTTTCATTACCTATTTTCAAAAAAAAAGAAGCTAATTTTTATTTATAGTATTTAAAACAAGAGATAATTAATAAAAAAATTGGTTGAATTTATTTTTATTAATTAAAAATTTTTAATTTAAAATTAAAATAAAAAATTTAAATATTTGTTATACAAAATAACTAATTATTCGATGTACTTAAATAAAAATTGGAGCAATTAGATATGTCACTCTGTAATAAAGCAGCGTTTTATTTGCTTCCCCAAACAAGGACTTGTGGATTCCCCTTTGTCAGATTTTTAATTCGTTCGCGAAAATCCATGAACTTCGCATTTCCAATATGCCTAATCAAGTCCAGTTAACGATCTGTCTGGATACTTTTAAGTATGATTTGCAATTTTTCCATTTCTTCTACAAACAACTGGCGGCCCATATTTCCTAACCATTGTTTTCTCCCATGTAAAATAACAAAAAAAAATGGTATGGCATGGTGAAATTTACATGGCATGAATTAAATTCTTAGATAAAAATAATTTTTTAATGGCATGGTGAAATTTACATGGCATGAATTAAATTC